AAGTCTCTCGTGTTTGTGGATTAATTTTCCTGACATTACCATTCCCAGATTCTCATGTTCTGCTCATACCCCTATTTATTACTGACTGTGAAACGCCAAACCTGGAACCCACCAGGGGGCAAAAAAAATCATGAAGGAGCATCTCGATTATGAGGAAAGCTGGAGTGAGCAAAGAGGCAACTGAGGGAGCACCTCATTAGGATATCTGTGTATAAATATCTAAACATTATCAAAGGAAGTTTAAAAGAAAGGTTGGACAGGGCTTCAGGAGCCACATATGAGGGATGGAAACAATGAGTTATACGAACTACATCTAATGTTTGCAAAGGAGGAAGGTAGAGGCTTGGCCAAACTGTTCACCCCCCTTCCATCCCCACACCCCTCCATTTATTAACTTTTAAACCCAGAAACCTCCCCCTTATTTTATAATACACCCCACCAAAGAGGSCCAACTTYTGCAAYSCCATCCAAAATAACCACAAACACCRTATTGGTTAAAAAAAACTTSCTGCAATTGGTATCTGCCATCCCCTGCCACCACCTCACAGTGGGTTGGGGTAGCGGTGTCGTGAAAGCAGCCTGGGCTGGGTGGGTCGGGCAGGGAGCTGGGAAACAGAGAGAGAGAGACAGAGAGAGAGAGGTGAAATAAGCAATGGGCTGTGCCCCAAAATGTTGATTTGGCCTCAAAATGTTGATTTGCTGCCATCAGCATACTGCCACAAGCATCCTCCCTCCATTTTGCTCATTCATCATACCCTCCCATCGCTATCCTCCCACAATTCATTTTCTCATAAAAAACCCTTATAACCAGGACTGATATCCCTTAAATCCCCCTGCCCATAGCAGATCAGCTGAAATCTGGTACCACCCCAAAATCCAGGAGACACCTCCTCMCCAAAGTCAGGAGCCCCCAGCCCCTCAGGACACTGCTCTCACCTGAGAGACCTGGGCAGGGTTGAAGAGAGGGATTGAAGCCAATGGTGGGAGAGGTCCAGGGTAGCCAGTCTGGAAGGACTGAAGGGAGAGAAACTTAACAGACATCCCCCAGTTTTAGAGCAGTCCTGAGCAGAGAGGTGTCCTGGACACCCCCATCCCACCTGGATACACTTCCYTCCTTTCCTCACCCTCTGTCCTGCTGACTGCTGTCCATCCTTCTCCCACGAGCCTTTCAACTCTGCGGACACTGGACCAACAGGACTTTCACCCTGCATTCCTCCTGGGACCAGCAACCAAAAACAAAAGGCAAAATTAAGAGGAGAAACTTGTAAAAGGCTGATGGGGGAGAGAGGTGAGGGGACAGGTGTGGTGTTTACCRGGATTTCTGGAGAGAGGATGAGCCAAAGGGTCTGTGCCATATGCAAGAGGGGCAGCGGGGGGGGATGGCGATGTCCGCTCCTGAAATCACATCCATCATTTAGAGCTGGAGCTGCTTGGTTTGGGGAGAACACCTCTGCATCAGATAGCACACCAGGCTTTTGGGGAGAACACCTCTGCACCAGATAGCACACCAGGCTTTTGGGGAGAACACCTCTGCACCAGATAGCACACCAGGCTTTTGGGGAGAACACCTCTGCACCAGATACCACACCAGGCTTTTGGGGAGAACACCTCTGCACCAGATACCACACCAGGCTTTTGGGGTACTCACTGTGCACCTGTCCTACTGCTGAGGTACCCCAAAAGAGCAGCAAGAAACATGGCTAAGGAGGGGCTACAGGGTTAGGGCAAGCAACCCTGGCACAAAGCTAAACCAGSCCAAGAGTTCACAATTAGGCAGGAGGCTTGATGCCATGCCTGGGTACAGCATGAGGGGCCACCAAGGTCCCTGGGTCCCCTTCTGTTCTCCTGATCTCCTGTTAGTTTTGGTAGAATATCCCAGCATTCTTGGTCCAAGCCTCACCATGAGGGATGTGAAACCTTGAGAAGCTGGCCAGGTCTGGGAAAACCACACATGGGTGCTTCCCCCTCGCTGCTGCAYTTCCAATTAAAGAGGATTTCCCTTCCCTGCATATCCTAAAAACTGCCAGAGCAGTGCYGCTCGCAGCTGCTGTGTTCCACTCCAGTGGAGGGCAAGGAATCCCTGCAGAGTTTGCCAGGGCTTGGAGCGCCTCACAGATCAAACAGGCTTTATGAATTTACAGTTACTATTTATCAAGGATTTACTTCCAGGCTAAAAGGGCTCCCAAACCCGCTCTGTCCCCACACTGAATGGCCACGGCCCCTGCACAAGGACAGAGGGAGAAGCAGTGGGTGGTGGGGAGATGTGTCACCCATTCTCACAGCTGCTGCCTGTGTGTCACSATGGACAGGATGGCTTTTTGTCCCCCTACCTGTGGTCCTGAGGTGGCAGAGTCTGAGTCTGTGTCAGACTCAGCTTTGGCAGAAGCTTCCTTGGTGGGTTTTGACCGAAACCAGCCAAACCACCTGAATCCAGAGGTCTGGGAAATAGAGAGAAAAAGTGGAAAGGGATAAGAAGGAGCAGATGCCATGGTCCCCAGATGCCTGCTGGGAGTGGGCACTATTTTTCCAGGGGCAGGGCTGGCACCAGGGACAGGTGAGCTCAGAGCAGGGGGCTCACGATGGCTCTGGCATGCTCACCTTGTCCTCCTCTGGCTTCACAGCCTCCGCCCGCTCTTCAGCAGCGTCCTCATCGGCGCTCTCCGAGGAGTGCCGGGTGTCCCCCAGGGACACGGTGGAGGTCTCCGAGACAGTCCGGATCCTCATCGGTGACTCCTCCTGGCGTCAGACATTGAAACTGCCGTGTGCTGCTCCCGAGGAGCCGCACCGAACACGGTCAGAGTGCTCCTGGGACTGCTCCATGCCAGGATTAGTGGGAAACATCCCTAGGGACCCCCACATCCCTTACACAGCAGGAGCACCCACAGCAGGGTACAGCTTTCACCCAAGAGAAMAATGAGCACCATGATGGGGGCATTCCATGAGGTTGAGTGCATGGAAGGACGAGCCAGCACGTCCCAAATCCAGGGAGGAGTCTCAGTGGGATGGTGTCCCTGGCCCCTGTGACTCACCTGCTCTGCTGGGACAGTTGGCTGCACTCCTGCAGGGGAGGACAGTTGCCTGGCACCCCAGGGATCCCCAGATTCTCCTGCCGAGCAGAGGGAAGGACACAGTCAAGGTTTGATCTGAGGAGCTCCGRATGTATCCATCAGATATTTCCAGTGCTTCTACCATCCCCGGCTCCAGAGCACAGCCATCCATGTGGTGGCCAAAAGGTCCCCCAATAGACACAAAAGGCCATTCTGGTCCCTGTCCCTGCCATTACCAGGGAGTAGGTGGCAAGGCTGAATTGGGGTGTCCCAAAGGCAACTTGTAAGGAAGAAATTCCTCCCTGTGAGGGTGGTGAGGCCCTGGCACAGGGTGCCCAGAGAAGCTGTGGCTGCCCCTGGATCCCTGGAAGTGTCCAAGGCCAGGTTGCATGGGGCTTGGAGCACCCTGGTCTAGGGGAAGATGCCCCTGCCTGTATCAGGGGGTTGGATGAGATGATCCTTAATGCCCTTTCCCAACATAAACCACTCTGGGATTCTGTGATTTTTGCAGGGAAACAAGGCTGCAGCACTTACCTGCTGGCAGCACTGGCTGCAGAGGGGGCTCAGCAGAATCCCCTCCCAGAGGGGCTCGTGTCTCTTGGCYGAGCACAGGCGGCTGCAGGGCTCTCCCAACAGTGGGCAGTGGCGATGCCACGACCTGAGCAGGTGCCATGGACCAGAGGGACATGTCCTGGGAGCTGGGTCCCTGGGGTGGCACAGGCTGGAACCACTGGTCATACTGGTAGCTTTCACTCTGGGGAATCTCATTGCTGAGCTCTTCATCTGCAAAAAAAAAAAAAAAACCAAAAACACATCTCAGGAGTTTACAATTTTTATGTTTATAATTCCAGCAGGCTGATGCACAGATTTCTCCCCTTTCCCATTACACATCAGTGGAAGCTGGGGAAATGAGGAAAGACTCCAGGGACCAGGCAAGGGAGTGGGTAGGACACAGAACAGCAAGGGGARCCTTCCAGAGGTTTCAAGGAAAGTGGGCTGGGAAAGACAGGGGAAAAAAAGAAAAGAATCCTGGGAATGTGCCTGAGGTTATAAATGAACTCAGAAGGGGGATGCTGTGGAAGCAAAGAGCCCACAAGCAGCATGCACTAGCAGCTCAAAGGAGCCTGAGGCCTCCAGCCTTTTCCTCCACWCCTACTGCACACCCTGAGCAGGAAAGATTCCCCAGGAAGCCTTCATTCCTGTTTCACAGCAGCACCCACGGGTGAGTTCCTTGCTTTAGGCAGATTTATTCAGGGTTGGGATTTTTTTTTTTTTTGAAAGGCAGGTTGAGTGAGTTTGATTTGTTTTATTTAACACACACACTGGTCCCAGGTGTGTGCCCTGCTTATTCCAGCTTGGCAGCCTCCTGCCAGGAACACAGAGCACTTAGAAATTTCTCTCCCATTGCTGTGAGATATGGCAGGTGGGTCCCAGATGCAATAGGGGAGGATTATGGCACCTCTTGGATGCAGTGCTATCAAAACCTTTGCTGCCAGCATCACCTCCAGCCCACTCAGGGTTGTCTTCACACCCGCAGCTTCTCCCACATGGCCTGGAGATGCTCAAGATCCACAGGGAGGAGAATGAATGCTCAAATTCATGATGCCTGGCAAGCCCAGCTGGAAAAAGTCAGGGAGGACAGCCCAGGCTGTAAGGATGGAGAGGGATGTTGCTGTGACCATGTGGATCCCAGCYTGGCACCTGATCTGGGCTTTGCCTTTCCAAGATGGATAGATCCAGCACCAAGCCAGCTTTCTGTGCATGCAGGTCCCTCAGGTGGTGACTCTGGATGGCCCTCACAAGGAAGAAAAGGGCCAAGAAAAGGGAGCTGTGGAGACCACATGGAGCAGATCTGCTGCTCTGAGAAGCCAAGCCAATGGGATCAGCATACCTGCAACTTCCTTCCAGGGAAGGAAGATCATGGTCTCAACCCTGATAGCAGCAGAAGRCAATCAGGATTGATGATCCTTTTTACTGCCTGGGAGAGCTCTTTGAAAAGGAATTTGGCAGCAGTAGGGAAAGCTGATAGGAAGAAATGGCTTGAAGGAATTAGTTGTGTTTCATCCTGTCTGCACCAGCCTCTGCTCTCCACCCTTCAGTGCCAGCATTCCCAGTAGAAAGCCAGATCCAAGGAGCAGGAGGTGGATGTGAAACAACACCAGTGGGTCACCAGCCCCAGACTCCTCCTCAGGGGGAYATCCCAATGGATGCCTGCTGAGAGAATAAAGCTCCCCCGCTCTTCCCTTGACACCGGGGGGTGGTCGTGTCGCTCATCTTGATGTCTCTGGGTGGATTGGCACTGGAGGGGATTCTTGGGGTCACCAAAGGGTGAAGCAAAGGGATCAAAGAGACAGCAGGGAAGGAGAAATGCTGGMTCTTCAGCAGCAGGCTGGCACACAGCAGGATGAGCTCCTCCCTGAGTGCTTTGCTCTGTAAGTGTGAAATCCCTTTAGTTCAGCTCCAGTTTGCACCCTCAGAGGACTGCCTGGGAATGGGGCCGTCTCCCCCGACGCTCAGCTGGGAGGCTCATCCAGCACCCACCCCCAGCTCCTCCTCTCCTCCCACAGCACCCACAGGGACCCYGGGGCTGTGGTAATTAAGCCTAATTACTCAGATTTTGTATGTGGACATGAGCACCAAGCCCTCGCTTTGCACCCATGCCAGGGGGATGCATCCAGGCAGGAGCAGCCTTTGAGCTCCAGGGGGATGCAGAGGCACGGAACTGCTGCTGATAAAAACCCCAGGGAATGGGAACGTTCTTCCCAGCCCACGGCAGCACAATTCCATGCAGGGAGAAGCCCACTGTGGTGACCACAACCTGCTGCTTGTTTTATTTACCTGTTGGCAGAACAGCACAGGACAGATCCAGCTGAGCGGGTGCTCCTTCCTCCGGAGGAAGAGCATCTTCCACCTGCACAGGAAAAGCACGGGTAAATGGATAGGAAAAAGGATGGCACAGGACAAAGAGTGAGGAAATCATGAAGCCAGTGCGAAGGACAGCACAGTGGTTGTGGATCTGGGGCTCACAGCCAACCCTGGACTGCAAGAGAGACCCACACCAGCATGGACTCAGCTCTTTCCCAGTGAGAGGGGCTGCAGCACCCCTGGCAGCAGGCAGGAGGGGAAACAAGAAGGGAAAGGCCACAAAACCAAAAGCAGATGTGAAACCTGAATGAGRAGCATTAACCAAGCACCAGATCATAGTTAAATGACCCAAGAGTACACTCACAAGACGACACCCACCAGTGACCTCTGAAATGTCCTCCCTGCAAAGCAAGACCATCCCACGCCCCAGCCTTGAGCCAAAGCAAGGAATGTTCTGCCCCATGTGAAGCTCTGCAGCCCTCTGGCACTGCAAGCCCCTTGCCCTGCTGCATCTGCAGGTCCCAGAGCAGAGCTTGGAGCTCACAAGCCAAAGAAGAATAAAACTTTTGAACCTCCATCCYCTGGGATTCAGGGAAGAGGAGGAGGATTCTCCTGCAGACAACCCCCAGTACAGCCCAGCTGTCTATCCTCTCTCCTCCTTACCTCCCACTGCCGGCAGCAGGCTCGGAGCTGCTCCAGCCAGTCGGGCTCCAGTGCCTGGTCCTGCTCCGGCATCTCCAGGAGCAGAGGGTCAGAGAGCTTCAGCCTCTCGGCCAGCTGCAGGGCCAGGGGGACAGCAGGGATCATCACACATGTCAGATCCACAGGGATCCATCACACGTGGCTGGATATATGGGCTTGGGAAAACAGCATCACTTCATAATGTGGGGGTAAAATACCACCAGCATCTTGTGCAGGATTTGTTCCCTCTGCCAAACCACCACAGAGGTGCTGGCCTATCCCATGCCCCACAATMTCAGCAGGGCTGACTCGGCACCTCCACAAAGATGCCAAAATACCTGKGTCAAAGATGCTCCTCACATCAAGGGGACAGGTTAATATCACCATTCTTTCACCCCCTGAGGAAAATTAGTGGCTTTAATCCCACCTAACAGCCAGCCCAGGCACTGGCAGGTTTGCAGGACACCCCACCAGGAGCCCTGGGAAAAGCCCAGCTCCCCAGGCAGTTCATCAGCCCCTCAGGTACCCCATGAGGATGGATGGGAGCTGGTGTTTGTCTGATCTGTGCTTACAAATCTCTGAGAAGATTTCAKAGCCTCCCAGGCTTGTCCTGATGCTTGGCGTCCTTAGAGCTAAAGAGTTTTTCCTTAATATCTAAGTGAAATCTTCCCTGCTGCAAATTAAGCCTCTCTATCCCTGTTCCCGTGGAAGCTGTGAGAAGAGCCAGGCAGCATCCCCCATGAGCAGCCTCCTGCRTGCTGGAGGGCTGTTATCACATCCCTCGTACCCCTTTCTCCCCCACCATATCTTGCTTAGAAGAAATAACCCTGAAGCCTTCTTCAGAAGTCATTTTCCCCTCAATCTCTTATCACCCCAACTCTCCACTCTCACACTCACTCCAATTTTGCCCTGGCTCCACATGCAGTGGCCCAAACAGGCCCCAGCCAAGACCCCTGAGACCCCAGCGTGGTGGGGTTATCGTCTCCTTGTCTCAGATATGCCAGTTGTGCTCTCACAACCCAGAATAACACTCTAACATTGGTGGTTTTTTTCCTTTTGTAACAGCATCCTGTTCTGCTGCTGCTCAGTATTTTTTCCATGTTTCACTATCTCCCCCAGGCCCCTCTCTGCAGTATTGCTGCTGTGTGTTTAATTTCTCCTGCAGAACAGGGGTCTGTGCTGCCCTGCCTGCAGCGGTCTCGGTGGCACGGGGCTCCAACTCCCATCACTGGAGCAAGAGGCTCTACTGGGGTGGCCCAGAAGTCCAAGGTGAGATGCAGGGCTCCCTGCAGAGTTAATTCCCTGTCTGAAGGAGTTTAGACAAGGATCTAGTTTTAAGACAGCTGAGGGAGGTGAGATTGTGCTCAAAACGCCGCTCTTGATCCACATCTTCACTGAATTTTCATTGGTGTCAGCCCACCAGCACCCTGGTCTGGTGTAAGGTGTCCCCCATGGCAGGGGAGCTGGAAATAGATGATCTCTAAGGTCTCTTCCAACCCAAATCATTCTAGGATTCTTGGGGAATTCTCAAGTTTCCCCTGGCTACTTCATGCTCACTTATAGTCTATGTTTTGCTATGAGGCTGCCACATCGAGGGCCACCAAAAGAAGCCACACGAGGCTCAGCTATCCTTCCTGCACCAGCTCCCAGTGCCCATTTCTTCCTGTTGCTGAATTTCTCAAAAACATACCCCAAACCAGCACCAAACACACTTCCCAACTCTGTGAGTTTACAGCAAGACAAGCCCTGCACAGCCAGACCCCAGCTTGGGACTGGGACTGGGAYGAGAGCAAAGTAACCCAGCAGCCAGCCAGGAGCTCACACTGCCTACAGACTCCCTGTCCCACCTCTTTACAAACACACCTCTGTTCATCCTAAATCAATCACAGCAAAAAAGAAATTATAAGCATGATTACTCCTAAACGGGGGGGATGTTTAATCCGAAAGCTAATGTGCACTTTGATCCAGTATTAATGAAGCAGCACCTGGTTGTATATCRTCCCCAGCTTCAAAAGAGGGGAAGTCTTAATCAAACACTAATGTGTATCATAATTTGTAACACAGTCTAGAACATCAAAGACAAAAGCAACTACGAATGCACTAGTTTTTCAGATGAAAGTGTTTTCTCCCAGGAGTAGCATTATCCCCAGCAGAATGGCAGATCTGAGAGGCTGTTARATAAATAGGCTCCGATGATGGGGTGGGGAAGCTGTGCCTGCCAAATTTTGGAGATGAACTCAGCAGCACCCACTTCAGACAGGCATCTTGCAGCCCCTTGCCTCACAGCACCGTGGCTTTAGCCCCTTTCATAGAATCACAGAATGGTTTGGGGTTGGAAGGGACCTTAAAGCTCATCTTATTCCAAACCCCTTCCACTATGCCAGGCTGCTTAAAGCCCCATCCAGCCTGGTCCTGAAGGCTGAGGAAGGTGACAGTCAGCCTCAGCACTGCCCTGGTGATGGAGAGGGCTCTCCTGAAAACCCAACCTTCCCAGGGGACTGGGGGCATTTTGCTTCACCCCTCCCTGCCCCAGCCCCCTGCTCAGGCAGCAGAGGGGCTGCACTTGGGCCCTGCTGCCTCTCACTGTCACCCCAAAACAGACCTCTTTGAGGTAAAGAGAATTGTTGATGATTTGCTGGAGGGGAAATGTACRCTTGCATTTCACTTCTTAAGCCTGTGACATTTAGAAGTTCAGAAAACCTTCCAGACAAAAAAAATATTCTTTGTTTCCAAATAACTCTGCTCTTACTTGGCAGTCAACATAACGCTGTTGTTTTCTACCCTAAATCCATGGGGATTAGAGACCCTGTGGAGGT